AAACTGACTTAAAAAACCAAAACCTAAAAACAAGCAAAAGGTAAAAACTATAAAACAAAACATAACTATTAAGTATATCTTATATAACTAATACATATAACTATTAAGTATAAAGTCATACGGACTTTTAAGTTAATAAAAAATCAACCTAATTAAAAAATTAAGTTTACTCAGTAAACATCAAATCAATTTCAATTATTAACGAATCAACTAAAATAAAAATATGTCAATTGGACTAATCATTCAAATTAGCCTTAAGTACACGTTTTTCGAACATTACAGTTTGTAGAATTAATACTACATAATTATATTTTTTATAAAAACATCATCATCATCATCACAGCGCTCTATGAATGCCTCAAGACTAAACCGTGGAAAGAAATTGCTGGATCTGTTCTGGGATTCTTTGTGAGATTCATAACATTACCTATGGCTTTTTTCTAAGGGATAGGGCCGCAAACGACCTTATTAGGTGTATCTTTCGTAATTTCATGTATTTTTATTTTCTCAACTTGATCATATTTGTCTATATCAAATCAATACATCATTTTATAGCTAGATTTCTTTACTGCAACATTCTCTATTCTTCATTATCCTGTCTGGTGTTCATGTTCACTTTGGTGCATGTATTATTAACCCTCAGGAGTTCGGCTACGACCCCCTCAGTCTCTGGCGTCCGGTAGTGGAAGCGGACTTCGGGCAGGAGCGGTTCCTGATAGAAGATCCAATGCTCTCCATACGAGAGGGCAGGATGCACGCAGTTCCATTCATCGTCAGCCAGACTACGGGAGAATTCTTCTGGAAAGCTTTTAGTGAGATATTCTTGTGATTCTTTGTGTAAAGTATAACTTTTGTCATACCTACTTACCCTTATCACTGTAGTTGTAAGAAATGAAGCCCACAGTCAGTGGCGATTGTCATGAGCTGATGCCTAATGTGTTTTGATTATTTTCTTAGCCGTCCTAAATAATCAAACGCTCTTCGATACGATGAACAGCGAATGGGACCGAATAGCTCCGATCTCATTCACACTTCCTCGTAACGAGACCAGCGGCAGACTGGCTACGCTGAGGAAGGCATACTTCGGAGACAGTCCACTAAGAAACGACACGGCGACGGCTGACGGCTTGGGGAAACTGTATGGAGACGCCATTACTGCGTTCCCTGTACATAGGTAAGTCTTATAATATTCACTACGACCTAGTTACAAAACACTGCACTACATTATATGCAGTAAGTCTATCTGGTTAGACCCACAACTCATCCTACTAGCTACCATGCCATACGAGCATCAATAACATTATCGATACCCCTCTTATTAACCATCAAACACACGTCTAGCGCCATCTGTTGGTATACATTCTTTAAGTAATTTAATGATCGATTTCATTCGCATTTCTATATGAACATTTTATATTCACTCCAGGATGGCGAACCTGATGTGCCGTCACTCGTCTCACCCGGTGTACTACACGGAGTTCGCGTACGTTGGCAATCGCAGTCACTACGAGGATCCAATCACCAAGAAACCAGTCCGTGAGTCTAAAAGCACCTATCATTACATATAAATTAGTTAACATTGACTCTATATCTGGTCTCTGACTCTGAGGATCGGGTAGTAACATCCTTAAGCTTTCTGGCCTACTTAATGTACAATTTCCAATCTGTTTATCAAAAAATTTGGTGATGAAGGGAAACTCTTTTTTAATGAAATTAACTTTCCCTTTGTTCAGCAGTGAATTTTTTCTGTCTAACAAAACCATTGTAACAAAACTAAAAATAATGATAAACATTATTTTTTGGATAGTTACCTAGATTTTATCTAACTTGAATTTTTTATTAAATTGTCATTGGGTAATTTAATGTATGTACTAATAAATAAATAAGAATAACTTGAACATTGTTTTCTCAGGCGCAGCACATCACGACGATCTGATTTACTTGTTCACGCTGAGCTACCGCTTCCCAACGATAGATGTCGCTGACACAGAAGACTCCAAGATGGTGGATAAGATGACGGCGATCTGGTATAACTTCGCTAGATATGGGTGCGTATTATAGAGTCAATACTTATTTTAATAATCAATCATTGCATTGAATACTAACTGTTCAGAATCACTGATCTACAAAATAAATCATTATCCACAAATAGCAAGTGCGTCTGCCAATTTAGATGCCATTACGCTCGTTTTTTTTTCTATAATAATTATTTTGTTGTCAGTGACCCGAATCCTCGAGGCGACACAGGAGAGCTGACCTCTTTGTCCTGGCCAGCCATGACGCCTGACAACAGGACCTACTTGCGAGTCGCCAGCGAGTTTACTGTCAAACAGAACCTTTATGAAAACAGATTTGATGTTTGGGACAAACTGTACCCTATACAGTATTGATACTATACGTTAAAATATAAAATTAAAGTGATTATTTGGGACTATGAAATTAATTTTATTTCTCATGGTTGCCTAATGGTACCCATGATGCTCTGTGTTTGTGTCATGGATACCAAATGCTTCAATCCAGGCTGTGTTACCACTATTTCCTTTTTTATAATTATTATTATAGTTACCTAACTACATCAAAGTAATTCCCAGAAGCGTAGTTGTGATATATCAGATTTTGAAGAGAGCAAAGAACCATGGTTTATAGGTAGGTAGGTACCTACCTACTATTTTATTTAAATCATTCCTAGGTACACATTATGCGCCTATGTGTTCTAGTGTTTAGATTGGTACCTTACTTAGGTAACCGTAAAGTTCTTGTTAGAAAGACCATGATTTTCAGATGTTGGAAAAACGTGTCAACTTGCAACATAGCAAACAAAGTATATTAACCAGTAATAAGTATGTAGTTGAGAATTTCAATTACATTCATACTGGCATATTCATTCTAAATTAATTCTGCTTGTAAGTAATTTCTATAATATTCTGTAAGTGGCTCAATGTTACTATTTTTCTGCTAAATCTGTGTCATGTAGCTGTTGATTCACCATTTAATAAATAAATATTAGTAGGTATGACAAATAAATAATTTACAGAATGATGATTAAAATAAAAATAATGATGTACGTTTACAGATAGAATCATTGAATTATGAGGGATAACACATGTTTGTTGGGTGATTATTTTACTAAAAGATTCGATACCTACTTACAGTATGTACTTACCTACTTATATTAATTCTATAATGTAAGGTCGTAAACTTATCGATTGATCATATGCGAGTAGTGTAGTATCGAGTAGGCTGCTCGGCCGGCCTCCCTAGTATCGAGATCGAATCGAGTCGAGCCGCCATGACAGTCGGCGAATATGCTAAGCGGCTATGTTAAATTAATTTCGTAAAAATAATATTATTGTGCTGAAAACTATCCTGGATACTTGATGTAAGTAGATTAGATTTGTTTTAGTTGTAGTACTGACATCAGTATTAATTCGTTATTCTTTTGTCACAATTTTTAATGTCACCAATTTTATTTTGTTTGATATTTTACTAAAAAACCAATAAGTTTTGTCTTATTTATTTATTAAAGTACATCAGATTATGATGACTTCTTGGTTCAGTCGAAATTGATGTTATATTCTAAGGATAAGTACCTACTCACTATAAAATATAACATCGTCTGCCTGACACTCCGATTTGATGTTGGCTATCGACTGGGCCGTGCCGGGCGACATGGCTGAGGTTACCTACCGATTTTTATTTAGACCCAAAACAGTAGCCTATCTTACAACAAATCATATTTATTTCCTAATGTTTAAAAGATAATGAAATTATAATTATGTCAAATTTATGGTGTGTTGTTACTTATCTGAAACTCGATTCTTATATCGTCTGGCAGACGGAATAAATTATTGGAGTATTTACTGAATCGGCTGGAGATGCTGTCCCTGTGAATTGTGATCTTATATTGCAGCAATATTGTTAATTTACATTTACAAATCTGCATATATAATGTGAAAAGAGGGCCTTTTCTTCAGTGGCCTTTCCATGCAGTGGGGCATAGGCTGGTGGTAATGATGGATCTCTAATGTAATTTTCAGTTGCAGTATTAGCCCGTCGGGCTAAAACCCGGTAAAATGGCAAACAACTGGTGGAGAGAACCGGACATGGGAGGTGAGAACACTATTTTCTTTGAATACTACAACTGCCAAGCTGAAAATGGTGAAAGTCAAACCTCCACTAGCATAAGGCACCTGTGACTGTCGTGGCACTATAAGGGTTAATTTTAATTAGGAACAATAATGTTAGCTATGCACCTAGCTCTAGTACAGTCAGTTAGTGAAACAATGTAATATAGAAATAAAAAGTATTTGATAGTGTCTAGCATATGTATGGTACAATTTGAGCATTCATATAATTGGCCTGTGTGTATGTTATGTTTGTACTACATTATGGTGCTACTACAACCAAGAATACTCTAACTGTACTGTCTGTATATCAGTACTGAGTGCACCGGTGACCTCTGGTGAGCCCCAGGGATGCTCCGCCATGCGTATGTGGAGGAACGCCTGCAACACACTGGTAGCACCCGATGCTGATGATGCTTGGAAGCAGGTGGTGGAAGCCTCCCCTCCGGAGTCACTCTGGCACACACTCCGGAACTGTGTAGCTTATCAGGTACTAAACTATGTCTTGTTTTTCTGTTACACAATTTCAAATATTTTTTGCTCATTTTGTAAATTTTCCTAGTTTCATGAAGCAATCCTAAGGTTGCCTGGAAGAGATCACCTGCTTGCTATAAGCACTGCTGCTGTAACTTAAAATTGTATACATTAAATAGTTTCTATGTCTAGGTCTAAAATTATTAACAATTTCATCCTATTCTCAATTAATTCATAAGAATCAGATGTTTGCTCACACTTGCACTTAAAAATAAATAATGAACTTTATTCTTATTTATTTATTTACACTTCTGTATATAACCTACGATGGCGGACTTAATGCCGGGTGGCATTCCCTAACAGTCAACCATGGGGTGATGCAGAGATGTGCAACAGCATTTTTTCCTATATTAAAGACGATCCTTGAATTTCCGATCGATTTCCTACACAACAGATTTATTCCTGTACTATAAAGGTGTTATTGATTTGTTTTTATTTGTAACAGCGATATATATTGCTGGCTTACAGGCGGGAGTGTGGCAGAACTTGCTCAACAAGGGAGTGGATGACGTCATACAGCCGGCTGCCTTCAAGCTGGCCATAGTGCTGAGACATACTCCTTCTGAACTCACCGTCAAACTTCTGTCTGACTTGCTGAGGCTGCATCCACAGTCGGTGCGTAATTACTGAGTCTATACTACTGTCAATAATTTAACAATGGGTGAAATGAGATGAAATTGTTTTACATTGTGATGTCAGGCAACTATTTCTTTTAATGAATATTGTAACATTGCAATTTTACAGCAAGACTTGACGTCGTACATCTTGGCGCTGCTGACGGATGACGAGGCGCAGTGGAGTGGCGGACACTGTAGCTCTCCGTCCAACGTGTCCTCTCCTCCCAGCGAGGAGGAGGAGGAAGAACATTCCTCCAACTCCGATGGCGCGGACTCTGACGGCGCCGACCAGGGACACGACACCGACGGCCCCGACCCCGGACACGACACAGACCTCGACGCCAACGAGGCCAATGGACCCGCAGACTCCGCGTCCGCCGCCGCTCTATCCAAACCCCATATGCCGCCGCCGGACTCCACCACGCATTCCAGCGACAACCCTAACATGCCCGATTCGACTACGGCCGACGATCCTATAGAAGTCGATCCGGAGTCTGGCGAGGGGGAAGACGACGGGGACGCGGAGGCGGAGGCCGAGGGAGAGGGAGATGAGGACGCCGACGGTGAAGGTGATGAAGACGGCGAGGGCGAGGAGGACGGCGAGTCGGCGGACGAGGTGGAGGGCATGGCGCGAGGCCGCGGGCTGTCGCCGGCGGGCATGGCGCGGGGCCGCGGGCTGTCGCCGGCGGGCCCGGCGCCGCTGCGCGACTTGCAGCTGTTCGGCGACTGCGAGCTGGCCGTGCTGGCCGCCTCGCGCGAGGAGTACGACGCACACGCCAAGCTCGTGCGCGCCGAGTACTCCAAGCTCACCAACGACAACTACGTGCAGCTGAGGATCAAGGTCTCTGCACTACTTATTCACATAAATGCTCATTTTAAATCAGTTAACTCTAAAACTCTAAACGAACTAAATCGATTGCAGCGTGATATAGCCTGATTTCAAAATTAAAAGAATTTTTAAATTTTAATCAAGTTTCAGAGAGAGAGAGCACATTCAAACAAACATACATTTTAGTTTTAATTCGAAGTATAAATTGATATCGCGAATATATCTATATCATTTCTCATTCACTTTCAGGTGCTGAACCAATTCAGTCAAATCCCCAAGCTGTTCCACTCTCCTGAGTTCGAATGCTTCGAGTCTGCGGCGCGAGAGAACATCGAGCGAGAGATCAATACGCTGCAGGAACACTTGGTGGCCGGGAGGAGAGACTAGTATTATCCCTACCAGGAGGGTGACATTCCTGAGGACATGGAGCTCAATAACTGCAACTAATTGTTTACTCATTACGTCAGCTTTGCTTGTTACGTGACCGCGCTACTGCGCTGAGCTAGCAGATGTACTTGCCATGCTAAAATGCATCATTTCCTTTTCATGTTTTCAAGTATCCATAAACTAAAGCTACCTACTTCCTTACTACTACTACATCATCGCTAAAAGTTTAAAAGACATCTGTAAACATATAGAAATCGTGATACAAGCTATGCTCATGTCATCTAAGTCACTCGCTAGCGCGTCATCAAGTAATAAGTAAGAAAATGTTTGAGTAAATAAATAATTTGCTGTACTACTTGGTGTGAGGTATATCCTCGTCACAAGTACTAGCTCCCGTGTTCAGGGCGTCATATTCCTGGCGAGCCTGGAGACGCTCGAATATGACTTGTGTTACAATACAATAATAATTACTTTAACACAAGTAAGCTTCCTGGGTCAGTGCGGCTTGCAACACAATCAGTGATTGTAATGATAGAGACATTTTCAGTGTAGTGCTATTTCTTCATAGATTGGTGTCTGTTTATTAGATTTAATTTGTATTACAAGTGTGAGCATATACACCTCGGCTTGTTTAGAGTTGCCGACATTCAACCTTCATAGATGTGAATGTGCCTATAAATGTACACTGACATTCCACAATGGAACAATGCTTTCTAATGTTGAACACTGATGTACCTACATAAACTTAGTTGTAATTGTATAAATATTGTATTTAGATTTACATACCTACTGTCACTTTTGTAACAGCAGTAGTTAAATTATTGCTATTTTAGATATTTATATGAAATGACTGAAAGCTGATTTTATTTCGAAACCTTTAGACCAAAATGTGTATTTTATTGTAACATTTATTTGATTATTTTTAGCAGAAATTATGTAATTCTAGATTTAAGTACATACCTATGTAATAGAAATCATTTCGAATATTTTGCTTATATCAATGTAGGCAGTAGCTAGTTGTTTAGGTAAGCAAGATTTCTGCGATTCATTTAATCAATTCACTAGTATTTATGACATGGTCATCATTTACTATTAAAGGAAAATAAATAATAATCAATAATGTATTTGTCATTATTTATTTTATAACTTGCGTTTCGTCCTGTGTTGAGGAACCATCGAGGAACAAATGATTATTCATAAATTGGCGCCTTATTATTTTTGGACCATAGTGTTGTGTGACGAAAGTATAACTTGCACTTTTAGGAAGTTCAAGTATCATCTTATTAATGAAATAAATAACGAATTAATTGATTTTATTACCCAAGGAAAGAAGAGATAAAGCTAATCGTATTATAGTTTATTGTCCGTGAGTTGATTTGATTATTAGTAAGGTGAAGTTATGTACCTAAGTCTATTATTTAAGTACCTAAATAAGTTTAATTGAGTCAACATTCATCATTATCATATTCATATCAGATTATAGTTTCACCTCTAATTTTATTATCGTCTTTCATAGACAGGCCATCATTAGAATGTTATCTCATATTACATTTTCACAAATAAGGGATTATATAGTCGTTAATTATTTATAGTCGTTATTAAATTGTCTTAATTTAATAAATTATTTATTATCCTTGTTCTGACTTTTCTTAATCACTAAACCAACTAAAAACTTACTAAAGTCTTTGCTATTGTCTATGCATTAATGTCATTGTTATACAATGTCACTATGTCAGTTTTTGAATGACATCACTAGTCCATTAAAAAAACATGGCGTTCTTGACGCGTACTATAAGCTTTTGAGTATAATTTCGAGTATAAAACAAGAAATTGAAAATTGAGTTTGTTACGACATCTATTTGTGTGTTATTCCTCTGTAACTTGTTGACCGCGTGTTATTAAAGGCATATATTATCTTCTCAGTGGCTACTGCGCAGGTAAACAATAGTACGGCGAGGAGAAAGGTTATTGAACGACGATTGTAGGCCAACCAACATGGAGGAAATGGGACTGCGGCGTCGAACGGTTTGTGAGTACAGTCGCTTTATTTGTACGGGTGATGTTCACAGGCGTGTACGATGTCGTGGCGAGGCCGTGACGAGAGGAACACGAGGTGGGGCGACGACGACAGGTGGGCGGAGGGCAGGCCGCGCTCGCCCGTGTGGGAGTCGCGGCGGAGCGCGAGCCCCGAGCGACGGGAACCGCGCGCCGAGCGCCACCACCACGATCGCTTCGACCGCGACCGTGACCGCTACGACCGCGATAGGGACGAGGACCGCGAGCGCCGCGACCGCTACCGTCGCGAGCGGTACGACAGACCCCGCGACCGCGACCGCCGCAGGTCGCCCAAGCGTTACGATGACCGTGAACGTGATGTACCGGCACCGCCATCCCCGCCCAACATTAGCGAATTAGATCGCAAAGCCAGTTCTAGGTCTAGCAGCCGCTCCAACAGTCGCGACCGTATGGACTTAGAGTACGACAATAAGTACGACGGCAGGGACAAACATGACGACAACCAGGCCATCAATGCATCCCCGGGGGATTGGTTCTGTAAGTGTGGACTGTACAACTTCAAGCGGCGTCAGGTGTGCTACAGACGGAACTGTCAAGGAAAGAGGTCAGATGGCATTGTGTATGGAGGTGACAATGACAGGAATCTGTTATCAGAAAGTGCTGGCATCACTAAACGATTGTTGTTCAGAAGGTTGGATGCATTGACCACGGAGGAGAAAATATTAGAAGTTATAAAAGAACGGTGCTCAAAGACTGTTTTAGATTCCATTGCAGGCATCACTATTGGTAGAGAAACTCTAACTGGCGCATCCAAGTGTTTGGCTTACATTAATTTCAATTCCATTGCTGACTCTACAGCCGCTCACTCTGAGCTAGCTTCCCTTCAGCCTCCACTAGAAATTGATGGAAGGGAGGTTCTTGTCAGTTTCTATAATGAACCTAAGAAAATTTCTAAACCCCCTAGTGCAGACTATTCTTCCTACTATGCTCAAATGTCTAATTATAATTCGTCAGCTCAGGCTATGTCTGAGGCAGACAGAGTGAATGCAGCCGCTGCTGTAGCCCAGTCTGCCATATCTGCAGCCCAAGCTCGTCACCTAGCGTGGACTCCTGTTAGTGTCCCAGTATTTGTGACTTCTACTGCACAAACTGCCCCTTCAGTGAAAGTACCAATTGGTGATGGGAAAACTGTGTATAGTCCCCCGGATGTAAGAACTTTTATGTATGATGAGACTTCTGGGTATTACTATGACCCAGCCACAGGCTTGTACTATGACGGTACTAGTCAATACTTCTATAACAGCCAAACTAGCCAATACATGTACTGGGATGCGGCCAGTAATACTTACATAGCTGCCACGCAAGCACAACAAAACACTGAGCAGCCTAAACTGCCAAACCCACCCACAGCCACCTCAGAGAACACCATTGCTAAAGAGCCAGAGGAAAAGAAGAAGAAAGACAAAGAAGATAAAGTTAAAGTTGCCAAAAAGATAGCTAAAGATATGGAGAGGTGGGCAAGAACTTTAAACCAAAAGAAAGAGAATGCTAGGAGTAATATTGTTATGGAGCAGCCCCTAGATGTAGGAGCCAGTAAGGGATCAGCTGACATAGGCTTTTCTGTGTTGGGCTCTGGTCCATCTCTGACACATGTCAGAGAGATATCACCACCACCCACCGGAGATGATTTTCTAATGAAAAAAGTGTCTGACACTGAGAACACATTTGATAGTGATGAAGGTATTATAGATTGGAGCAAACTAACCTGTCTCATTTGTAAGCGACGGTTCCCGTCTGCTGATGTACTGAACAAACACAAATCACTGTCAGACCTCCACAAACAGAACCTGGCCGAGTTCCGCAAGAAGAACGACCTGATCCCGCAGATGAACGGGTACAGAGACAGGGCGGCAGAGAGGCGAATGAAATTTGGTGAAGACGAAACGCCCATCATACGCAAGCGCTATGACCCGCCTGACTGTATGCCTCCACCGATGGCGCCGCATCCTCCACCATCAGTCGTTGACACTATTGGAGGTAAGATGCTACAAAAGATGGGCTGGTCTGAAGGCCGAGGCCTAGGTAAAGAAGAGCAAGGAAGAATTGCTCCCATTGAAGCCGAACAGCGACCGAGTCTAGCAGGGCTAGGCCAGAAGCGAGGTATTTATACTCCAACCCCTGGGGAGACATACAGAGATACTGTTAAAAAGCTAATGATTGCAAGATATAAGGAGGTTGTCGGACAGGAGGAAGGGAAATAGGTGGGTTTTGAACTTTATTATTTTTTTGTATTACAATATTATTTTGTTTGCAGGACTGGATTGCAGGTCAGTCAATTGTTTATGTTGTTACACAGAGAAAGCTCCATCTGTATTAGTTATCAGGTGTTGAAAATTTCTTCATTTGCAATGTATTTAAAAAAAGACTTGGAAATGAAGTAAGAAATTGTATGACAGTGACATTTAGTATTTTACCCATGTGACTATTAGGAATGTGGTGAAGTTTTCTTTGTAGCTCATGTTTTAAAGAGAAGCCCTGAAGATTGTTTGTGCTCTAAGACTATAACTCATGAGAATAAGGTCCAAGGTTGTGGTACATTGGTATACAACAATACCCAGATTCTAATGGTTTGATTCTGATTTCACTACACTAGATGTTGGCGCTCAATGCTCCTTCTGAGGGTCGTCACTCAGAAATCACGACATTCAAAATGGTAAGTATTCAATCTGCCAGTCACACTATACATGTATCCTAATGTTGTTTCCTCCACAGCTGTACTCAGGTAATTGTATATAATGAAGGATGCAGACAGTGTCCATTAAATACCTACATGTTGCTCTACTCATCAAGTCACTCCGCAGGAGGTTCACTAAACTGTTCTGTTACTTGTTTAGCAAATGTGTTTCTTGATGGTGATTGGCATTTTTAGCATTACTTAACTAGAGGTGTTATTATTTAAACTAATTCTTTGTTAGGGTCAGGACTCAGAATATAAATATAAAATCTTTCTTTTAGCACAGTAGGTATTCTAAGACAGTTTTTTTGGTTTAAATGAATCAGAGGTATTGATTTGTATGCGGCTATAATAAAATTTAATATGAAACTGTGACCTTTTCAACTAGGTAGTGCTCAAGGATAATGTTATTGAAGAATGCTACCCATAAAACTAATTTATTCTGTCATATAATTTCCTTTGTCTTTGAATGAATGCTACTTGTGAAGAAGTTCCGAGTAACAAATTGCTAAAAACGTTAACGCCATGCGTCATAGGTCTGTACAAGTCGAAGCAATGAAGAAACAGGACATTGGACAGAAATGTGATAGACTGTGACTGTAGTGTTGTGTATGAAGAAACGGTGTGTAGACCGAGCCACGGCCGTTTACTGATGAATATGACCATTTACCTTACAGAGACTACATGCCAGATCCCGCAGCGAGTTGCCAAACATTGTTACAAACCTGTATACTCGTAGTTAAGAATACTAGATAGAACACTCATTGTGAGATTCAAACTTAAAGCAATTCTTAGTGTTTACATTATATGCTCCAATCTAACTCATAAATGTAAAGTCTATTTTTATTTATATTTTAAAGAATTATATCGAAATGTTTAGTTATTTTATGTCATAGGTAGTTGAATTGTTATGAGAATATATTCATATATATAAAGACAATGAAACTCATTGCATTTATTTTTAGTTTGTTATAAATTTTAGATTAATTGGCAGTCTAGTAAGTAATTGTGGCAGGGTGATAAACTAGCATAAAGAGGACTCATCTAGGTAGCTGCAAGACTTGCGTACCTAGCTAGGGTGAATATAAAGGTTGTCATGTTATTCTAAACTTATTGCAACTGTCTGAATAGATTAAACAATGATCAACGATTAGGTAACGCAATAATTGCTACTATCGGAATATTATGGAAAGATAATTAGTTAATATTGTTATCTAAGTGAGCTATGTACTTTAATTAATTTTATAGAAACTATGTCATCGTTTTCCAACGTAGAGACTTAGTAGCTCAACAAACTCCAGTTGTATAAGCTGCGTTAGTACTTGTGTACCGCAACGTCACGTTATGCCGCGTCTGACTATACATTAGACATTGCTTCCAATGTTATTACTATTTTTATGTAACTCCTATTGGTAGCAGAGCAATAAAGATTACAACCAGAAATGCGTTCCAGTCCGTGTAGGTAACTGGAATAGGTACATGTCTCTTCCATTAATTAATATAAGTAATTAATTACCTACCTCATTGAATTTGTTGAACATAGTCGGCTGCGTGGCAAACGTAATGTTAGCAATTCTTTATTATACTAAAGTGTTAAAATCTATTATCTATTGTAGATGAAGAATGTGGACATGTGAAGTAGTTAATTTAACAAATAATTTTGCAGGTTTTTTAGATAGCTTAAGTTTTTATTGAGCGTCCCTGTATCTTGTAATGTAAAAATAAAATGTATTTTATTTTACTTTATTGACCGTTACTGGTGTCTTTTATTTCAACTGAATACCTACTACGTTAAGGCGTATTTCTTTAATTTAAATTCATCTTCCTGTGGGTACTCTCAGGTTACCCAAGATGCCAGGCAACCTGATATGGAACCGCGGAAGACTTAACGGCTCGAAGTGCAGGAGTAGGAACGGGGTGGTTTTTAGTCAGTAAGAGTCTAACACTCCATCTCGCCTCACCCGGGCGGGAGAAGTCATTGGATGATTTTCCCCCCTCAAAAAAAGGCAACATGATATGGCAGGTTAACGGCTGAAATTGGTTTTAGCATTTTGGTCAGGTCTGTTGATGTATCTATCCACTAGTACCACCTAGTACTAAAGAAATGAAGTTTGGGATAGGTTTATTGTTAATTCGATTGATAATGGATTTTTGATTACAAAATTTTCAAACATTTTTCCAATATAAGATGAAAGTATAACATGGTTCTGACTGAATAAACAATAAAATCCTTTGCAATTAAAAAAGAAATTATAATAAAGTTTATTGTAACGCTATTGTGATGATTAACTTCCTCTATAGGTGGAGTATCCGTAGGGGCTCAGCAGTAGGGGTATGTGGTAGTGTTCGCCGTCTTTGGTGTTGAACGTTATCTGGAAATGAGAGACATTGCGTTAGGTATTGAATGGTCAGCGCTACTGTTTAGAATAATCATCTTACAATTTTACGGAGATACAACAATTTTTGTCATTGGTTCTTAAGTTTGTGTCAAGCAAAAGATTTCGTTCAGTCAAGAGATTGGATTGAGGCAATTTGTTGCTGGTTCGATTCTTCCACGTAACTGGAGCAGCCTAAGTACCAAGTATTTACAAAAACTACCTATGTAAGTAAAGTTAAATTAGCCTTATAAATTAAAGTTCAGATCAACTTTGAATCAGACATGATGGCAGAGATATTTTTATAGCTATAAATAAACTTTATTTCTTAATTCTTATGAATTAATCACGACCTATAGACCTAAAATGACGTAGATGGAGAGGCAAGCAACAACAAATATTTCGACACCGCGCCGTATTGAAATAATAAATGATAGCTAATCTGCTCTGTCAAGGTTAAATTACATCAAAATGATTCAATTATAATTAATTTTACTCGTTTAAATAAAGTGGTATATCGTTACGTGGGTTAGGTCAATGACCTCCGACCCCAAACAATGGCCAGTGATTGATGAAAACTATTTTGGAGTAGGTACCCTTTTCATAGGAAGGGTTCATCTGTATACCTAATTAACTCGTCGAGTACTGGTTTTGTAGACACAATTATAGAACAATAGGTTGCGGTCACCGGTGACCGCTTGGTGTTTGACAGTTTAAGCAACTGAGTTGGTAGGCAGGTAGGTACTCCTACTGGTCATTTTTATAGGATTGGCAAACGAATCACCTGATTGTATACAATAGTGCTGCTGCTCATGGTGTCATGGATACCCACAACACCAGAGTTGCAAGTGCGTCGCCGATATTTTTACATGAAATTAAATTAGGTATGTCTCTGAGATCTAGTAGACCCTTTCCTACGACCTACCATTGATTAAGTGCATAAGTAAGCAAGGTACCTCGGTATAGAGTAGGTCTGTACATTATTTTAAAATAGATTCCTGAACGCAAGTTATCGTGAGGCTTCTGTCTTCGTCATAACAAGGCAGGCTCAATATAATTGAATAGTGCCCCAGTAAACTAGGTACCTACAAAGTAGGTAGCGATGACAGGAGGTAATTAAAGATTTGTATCTGTAATAGCTATGCCTGAGTTCCATGGACTATACCTAAATATTAATGTCTCATGGACTTCTAGTCCTCTAAAGCTCTAAGCTAAGTACATGTATATCGTACCGAAAATTCCCAAAATTTGTTCATACAAAAGTAGTCTCTAAACATCGGAAATAAGGTCTTTAATGGAGTTAGTGGAGAGCGGTCACCGGCGACCGCTTGGGGATTGAACAGTAAAACAGGAATGTTTATCTTCAGGATCGATGCAATCATCCAAGTCCCTACATAATAAGTAAGGAACTGGCTCCTATTTTTATTACAGAAAATTTAATAACAAAGAATAGTTAACAGAACACAAATCTTTACGACCTACGTAAAGATTTCAATAAATTCACAAAGTTGATGATTTAAATTTAATACGGATATAAAAATAACGATACGGCTTTATAGGCTACGTTATGCGCTTGAATTAAATGTAGCTGAGACATGCACAGTACTTATACAAAACCTTATTTAATAACAAATTGCTTATGTATTGATTGAGAATTGAAATTATATCTCTACCGACGTTTTATTTTAAACAACATCGGCACACAAGTAAATGATTTATGTCATTCCTATGTTTTATTACATTGCTGTATAAGGTATGTCCATAAGTTTAATTCTTAATAATAAACACAGATACAATAACCTTAGGTAGGTATTAGTATCATAAACAACACAAGATGAACAAACAGTAGATACGTACCTCAACAAAGGGATATATCGTCTCCTTATCAAGCATTTTATAATAATCACCGACTTTAAACATTAACTTGTATGTTCCTCCAGACATCGAGTCGTTTGTAAACGGAAACTGTATTCGCCCATCACTAGTGGTCGTTGTGCTGTGCCATAGTGCCCACGAATTTTCTTTTTTCTTGTATAATTCAACAAACAGTGCCGCTGCAGGCCTCCCCGTGGATGTGTCCAACACGTGCGTCGATAGAACGGGTCGTGACATCGTTTACGTCTGTCCTCTTTGCTCGTCCACACACAAACTACACGATAAAGATGTTTTCTCTCAACGTTTACGCATATTAACTAATAACTTTTTATTTAAACTTGAACTCTTAATCACTAGAGATAGATGCTATTTTTGTTTACATTTGTCGCATGCCTATTTTTTCTTAGATATTATAAAGATAGTGGGAACCGCACGCGATTATTTTTGTAGGGGATTATTAATTTTATGTGAGTGTGTTGGTATCTCTTTATCTGATTGTAAAATATTGTGGATGGCAAAATTCATGTACATTGTGTTAAAAAAATACGATCTGTTTATTTACATTTCCATAAATACATTTATTTATGAATAAATGTCAATAACTCCTATTTTTAAATACTGAGCAAATAGCAGGACACGTGACTTTATAGTGCTATTAAAAAATAACAGGCGGTTGAAGAACTTTATTCTATAGCTTATTTTTTTTTTACCTTTATAATATGAGTTGAATTCACAGCCATTCTATCATTCTATCTACATTTCGCGAAAAATATGATAATATGATATTATAATGTGATTATTAGGTATTAGTTAGTTGAACATTGTATCTTTGATAAAGTGAGTGAATGCTACCACTACATCAACAACTGATAACGAGTTGTTATCGTCAGCCAGCAACAAGTTGTTAGTGGTAAAGATAATGAATACCACATCCAGTGCGTGTCAACATCAAACAATGAATTATATTAATGAAGGCGGTCAATCATTTTGTGTCGTGCAATTTTAAGAGTTTCAGCTTATCTACCTCGATACATAAATAAAAGGTTGACAGTGACAGTAAGAAATTAATTGCACATCTCTGTGTTTCAGAGAAAAGTATGTATTTGGCCATACCTACAACCTTAGAAATACCTATGTATTTAAATTGCCACACATAGAACAAAATAATAATGTAATGTTATCAGATCTAGTGCTAAGTCTTGTAATACCTCGCAATTGATAAAATATTGCGATCCTCAACGTATCAGTAATCTTTGGATTATTCGATAGAATGTTAACAATGTAAATGTATTTATCGACCTATTCAGTTATTTTACAAATTGTTACTCGGTGTCAGACAACAAAACATATTATATTTAACTGTAACTTGACGTTGACAAACAATTCACTAAGTGGAGTGACGATATCCGCTGTCTGGCTGCCAGTAATTAAATACAAATATCGATGATGGTGATGGTAATGACGAGCGTAGAAACAAAACTCTTACAAATTGATGTTTATTATTAATTTAATTGATCATACGAGATGCTGTGAGAATGTAATAAATCTTTATAAAAATCTGCTGCTAGCCTGCTACTAGTCGATGGCGCCAGAGTTCATGTCGAGGACGTTCTTCCTGATAAAGTTCTTTTTAATATACACGTCAGGATGTAGCACGTCCTTCCTGGCGGCTTGTTCCAGCACGTTCTCGGAGACGATGACGTTGGGTCCGGTCTTCACTAGCTTCTCCTTGAGTCGGCCCGGCTCGTAGCCGAACACGTTGAGGCTGGGCTCGCCGTGCTTCATGTAGTCTATCCGCCACACTGGCGGGTCCACGGGCTCCATCTTGAAGTTGACGTGGTCCGACCGCTTCCTGCCGGTGGCTATACCTATCCCTGCTCCCCCCATGTTTAGGTCTGGCACTTCCACTGACATTGATAGCTTCTCCTCCGAATAGTCCACGAAGTCCTTCCTTCCCTTCGACTTATCCTTGTACTTTATTTTGTGCGGATAGAACTTCCTTATCTTCTTCCTGCCGTTGTACAGTGTGGTCCTCGTGTTGTCCTTCTTCGACTTGCTTTTCTTCTTGTTGTCTCTCTCCCCCGTCGGTTGTTCTACGTTTGCCTTCGCGACTCTTTTTTTGTGTTTCTTCGATCTTGATTTCTCGGCCTTGTTCTTATAGTAGCCATTCTCGCTGACTTGCAGAAAATTTGACAGATCCTCGCTGTTTATAGAGGGAAACAATGTTAGGTGGTAGCCGGGTATTGCCGTCGTCTTCTCCATGGACAGTTTCTTGTACTTGAGCTGTTGTATAGAGCGCTCGATGAGGTTGCGCAGCGTGTCGTCCTCCACGATCATGCCGCACGGTATCGTGGGGAAGTTCTTGCAGAGCACATTCTGCATCATAGACAGAATGTCGGGGTTCTGCAGGTCCTGCTGCGACCTGTGTATCTGTACGTGCGACTGCTGGTGCGACTGTTGGTGCGATTGTTGGTGCGATTGTTGGTGCGATTGTTGGTGCGATTGTTGGTGCGACTTTTGGTGCGACTGTTGGTGCGACGGCTGCAGCTGTGGCTGCTGTGGCTGGTCGGGGGAGCGCTGCGTGGCAGACATCGTGTTGTCTTTTTGAAAGTCTGATACCATTTTCGATATTAATGCATCATTTCTCATCATCATGGCGTGAGACTGAGCGAAGTAGAATATTAAGGAAAATAGTTCGAAGAACAGCCGCGTCATCTTTGGGTTTGGTATCTGGAACAAGAGGGCTGGTTTAATAATAAGTGACGCGACTGAATAAAGGAATGTTACCTTTTCGCACGTTGGAGTGCAAGCAATCATTATGTAGGTGCCTACTTACGCGTGCGCGGTGGAGCGGTGTGTGGAACGTCACTCGGCCGGGACCATTGCTGGCTGCTGTACTGAGCCTGATACACGCGCTCTCAGTGGCCTGACCTAAGGTATAACTGGCGTATTATCTCTGTGGTACTCACTACTTGTATATTATAGGGTCGGTGTCTAGCCAACAATAGTAGGTACACAGGGATAATGCTTGGGATGTCTTTCAGTAATACTCACAGGGAAATATAATGACCAAGAAATGACTTGCTACATTGACTTGCTATGAATTATTTTCTTATCATGAAATATCTTGTAAATTGTTAATTGGTTTTACATAAAAAATCAAACCCAGCAAAATATTAATCTATTTATTATAAAATTACCATTATTAAAACTATTTATCATATCATTATTGAATTATAGTCAGGTTACTAATAGAAGAGAAAATATAAAATAGTACTCACTTTCGGCAGCTTCTGAACTGTTCGTGAGTGAACTCAAGACGTGTGTGTCAGTGAGGACTAATTTCTAAATACTTGCAAGCGCAGGATGTGGACCAAACGGCCATGTTTGTAAATCTGTAGCTGTTTGCGCAACCATTCAAATTTTGTTTGTAACAATATTTTGGTTCATGCGCGTGACTTGCGCCGTTGGCGTGTTTTGCCGAGATCACAACTTGCCACATTGCACATTGCTTAGAGTTTCAAGTAAGTACTTACAGGAGAGATGACTGCGCTTGTGTTAGTAATTATGTGCGACGGCTGTAAACTGTCCTAAAACTATCTACATTCTAGGTACACTACAAAGCTGAACAGTTTGTTTGGTTGACAATCTTCAAACCGAGAGGTTAAAATCGAGAGAAAACCTTTTGTTTTAGATATTGCATTGGACAATAAACATCACACCGAGCAGCGAATAAAATTGCGCGGGAGTCTCCAAAGATGCCAGTTCAACTAGTCTGTTCTTTGACTATCAATTTCGGACTTTCGAAGTAAGCTCGATCAGATTCTGACATGGCGGACAGACCATGATACATTGCTACGCAATGTATCGTGGGTACGATTCCCATAGGTACAAAACGATGTGTGCTTATAAAAATCTTTGTGTAGAGACACAGTGTCTACTTTCCAATTCTATAGTCAGTCACAAATAAAGATCGATTGCATTATTCCACTTCTGCCAACTCTACCTCTAAAGACGACTAAAATGGCGTAATGTTATACGAGAACTGAAAAAAAAAATGTATCTACCAGTATTATTTTTATGCTTAAATTATTACTTGATATCGTTACAGTAGTGTATTACGAGTTATTTTTAAATCTCAAATACTTTTACAGTAAAATTAAAGGTTTGATTTTAGTTGTCATCACTAGTAACGCCATCTTTATTCACCTAACGTTAGTAATATATTAATGTCATCTAGTAGCCAATAGCGTTACTACTATAAAAGTTGGTTTTCCATAAAGATAAGTAGTTCGGCTATTCGTCAACAGATGTCACTGCAGGTGACTCGTTGAGTTGAATTCCGTTTGTTTCAAGCAAGTTAACAAAACGAATTGATTTTTTTTTGAATTATTGGTATAATTTTCTAAATACTGGTAAGGTTTCTGATAGTGTTTGTAGTTACTTTACTTGGTGATTTTAGGTGCCCAATCACATCAGAACGGGTAAACTGATTTGTATAAAAGTATCTCATTTCTAATAATGTATATTTCAAATTGATTCGGGGATAAATTTCGTCTGGTTAAGCTGGTATTAATTTTTAATTAGCTGTGGGAGTTGTCGAGTCGTGCTTCATATTATAGAATAGTATTTTGTATTAACGATCTACTAAATATGTAGGTCTTTTTAAAGTAAGCAATTTTATAAACGAAGAGAGCTTTTTTTAAGGCGGACAATCATCGAATGACTGCTCCCGCCTGGGTGAGGCGGGAGGGAGTGTCAGACTCTTACTGACTAAAAACCACCCCGTTCCTTCTCCTGTACGTCGAGCCCCGGTAACCCGTTAGGTTCTCCGCGACTCCGAAAACGAAGAGAGCTAGGTTGGTTACTTACTACCTACCTACCTAAAATTTCAGGAATTGGAATTGAATTTAAACTGATTCCTAATATAGAATTGTAACAGATTTTGAAATGAGTCGGGCGTTTATTGCTTGATTCATTTTCACGTTTAATAATTACAATTTATTTACTACCTATCTACGAACGAACTTATCTATCTCTATACGTCAGCAATATATGTAAACAAAAATCCAATGAAACCACACACCACTACGATTACGAACAACACAAAACGAAAGTACCTACCAAAGTACCAACCTATACCTTTGAGAGTAACGGACCAAACAAAACAACATCCGATCAGAGAGTAAGTTGTGGCGCAGTGGGCACGCGACCTCTACCGACACAAAACGACGACGCAGGCGGCCGGCAAAGGGTTGAAAAAAACATTTCTCCTGACTTCGTGAGTCGAGCTCTCCATCAAGCTCACTTACAGGCAGTGGGCAGTATACGCTAGTAAAACGTACGCCACGAGTAGAGGGCGCTGCTGTATGGCCAGTTACTGAGTGAGCGTTTTTGTTGGTCAGGACGAATGGAGTATTGTGGATGCGATAGGATTTGTTTTTTTAACAATTTCTTATGTTCAACAACATAACATCACGCCTTTTAGGCAGAGATGCACATTACGACACTTAATACCACTTTATAATGTAACACCCACTTTTCAGCCTATTGCCATATACCGGGCACAATTCCAGACCCCATGCTACTACTGAGATTAAAAAAAACCCCTGTAATACTTTGCCTGAGCCAGGAATTGAACCCGATGACCCCTTGCCTGGCAATCGCACTTGCGACCACTAAGCCAACGAGGCAGCCGTTTATTATCTTCATTTCTTACATTTATACCTGTGTCAATATTTGAAGGACCTACTTCTCTAATATACGACAAGTATACTACTGCAAGCTTTACGGTCACCTGGAGTGTGCACTTCATAGCGAACACAATCAATTGGTACACTTTGATATATTTATACCTAATAATAAAGATTCATTTTTACATTTGCTTGTATTTTGCCAGCGAATAATGTCAATTTACAATTAATGATTAATCAAATATATTATTATGTCATTTTTTTTTTTTATTTGTATTTTAGTATTTTCGATTATTGAGTTTAGCCAAGAATTCGTTCATTTTTGTTTTTCTTTATGATTTTGTTATATTTGGACGTAACATTCTTAGATTAAGTTTTTTAAGGACTAGCTATCGGAATGGAGGAACCTGACACGATAGTTTAGGTAAGGTTTTATATAAATCAATAAATCTTTAACTTAGACCGGTGCGCGTATCGTGGATGTATTCACAAATACACATTACACAAAGATTTGGAACAGTTTTTGGTTATTCAAAATTATTGTATGCACCTGTGCTAGCGCACACACTTGTTCAATATAATATATCCTGCGTAGTGCACTCGTCAGACGGACTGGCCACTGCCTGCGATATTGAAATTGATCGGAGACTTATTCACAGTCGTATCCACACTATGCTACCGTCGCGTCGCGTCGCGTCAGCGGTGACACAGCGCAGTCATTTGTGATGCTGTGTGCACAGTAGTGTGAGTGTGTACATACACAGTACACACGTGTATGTGAGTGTACGATTTATAAACGCTAGTCCAGCAGTTTGGAGGGAATGTCTTCCGATCAAACGAATGGCTTGATATATCAGACGCGGTGTCCTCCATAATATTATGTTATTGATGGACGCTATCAGTGCTCGGGACGTGGGAAATTATTGCTGAATATACTTACATACATAAATATATAACAACACGCCTTTTATCCCCGAAGGGGTAGGTAGAGATGTACATTACGGCACTTAATACCATTGCACAATGTAACACCCACTTTTCACTATTTATGTTATGAGTCCCATGTAATATGCGTTGAGTCTATTGCCATATACCGGGCACATTTCCAGACTGAGGGCTGCTACTGAGAATTTTTTTAAACGACCCTGTAATATTTTGCCCGACCCGAGAATCGAATCCGAGACCCCTTGTCCGGCAGTCGCACTTGCGACCACTCGGTCACGAGGCTGACTATATTGTTATTTTGGTGTATAGTGACGGTAGAGTGGAATAGGTATGTCTTCACCCTGACTGTTCCCGCGAGTATCCTATGAGCCCATTAAGGGACTTATTCATTTTAACAGATGCCTTGAACCCGCTCACTGAATGTAGATATTATGACAAACACCTTTTTTTTCATCACCTGATGGTAAGCAATCGGCGCTGTCCATGGATACCTGAATCACCAGAGGCGATACAAGTGTGTTATCGGCTTTTGAGAATTTTAGGAATGAGGGGAATTTGGGGATTGGAGATACTGGGGGGGGGGGAGTAGTTGGGCCTCCTGTAACCTCATTTACACGATAAAACACAACGCAAGCCGGTTTTCTGTGAGGCCACGATATTGTTCCCGTCGAGCCTGTTCGTGCTAGAAATGGCTCTCCTACCTTTAAAAATTAAACTTATACTTACACTAATGCGTAAAAAAATATATAAACTGACACGATTTGCATTACTACACTATATTCACTATTTTGACGCAACAAACTCATCCTTATACCACACGAAATACAGGTGAGATTAGTTCATATAACCTCGGGGTGTAAGTGAAATAAAAAGTTTTTAAATGCGAGTCGTCGTTCGATTATTATTATTCGAATATTAACTGCTTTCGTTGGTTTTTTCTACTTGATTGTTACTCTTTGTGTACCAAAAATGTAAGTTGTGAAAAGAAAAACAATGTTTGTCTAACGTTCGAATACTGACAGACTACTCAATTTTAAATTGTACTTAAATATCGTGCTATCTCCGGCTCGACGTGCAGGAGAAGGAACGGGGTGGTTTTTAGTCAGTAAGAGTCTGACACTCCCTCCCGCCTCACCCAGGCGGGAGCAGTCATTCGATGATTTTCCCCCCTTAAAAAAAGTCTGATTACCAATCTACTTACGTAACAACTCTGCGTAGCAGTTCGTAGCCGATCCTTGCTACGTAGCGTAGCACGTAGCAAGGATCGGCAGGCGGCCTACGAGGCATCGATTAATGATATGTGATATTGAAGTTATGAATATTACGTATGTTACATACACATTTGTTTATTTAACTGTTTCTTAGTTGAGAGTTTTAGAGGTTGCAAGATCGACTGCCTAGCGAGTAGTTTCGGATTCCCGAGACGATAACAGTATTGTTTAGATTTTTGAAAATTCTCTGTAGTGTAAAATTCCGCTCTATGGATTATTGGCAGAGCGAGACTTTAAATTACTAACGATAAATTATTATATCATTACACTATTGTGAATAGCAGTTCAGACAAAGGGTCTTCTTGAATTACTGAACTAGTTTTAAAGCACTCTCAATCAAGAATGCATGTTAAAGATAGACGAAGCAAAAGATTTATGTATATTTTATGTCATGACATTCCATTGTCTCTGCCTACCTTTATGAAAAATTGCAGGTATGTTGATATTCCCGGGTTAGAGGGGTTCCAGGTCCAAGCAAGAGTAGGAATGTAGTGTGTTTAGTCAGTAAGAGTCTGACACTGTCTCTCGCCTCACCCAGGCGGGAGAAGTTGTTGGATGATTGTCCCCCCTCAAAAAGAGATGTGATGATATTGTATGGATGAACTTACTTCGTCTACATGTTATTTACGGATATGAGACGGTTCCTTTGTATTTTCTGTACGACACCCACCATCAGAATGGGGGTGGAGATTGTAAAAAAGTAACTACAGACTTACTTGTCTTTTCTCTCCATACAAATCTACACTTGGGAACGAACACCTAGTACATACCATTGCCGGACACACTCACCAACTTCTGTATATTTCTTGACGTTTTATAAGTACCTCGGGATGTTTTTATAGTAACGGTACGGCACGGTACTGTGGGCAACCGGCTGCCATGCAACGTGCAGCGGGTTTGATACTCGCATGGAACAAATCTTTGTTTGTGACATTGTATGTTTGTGAAGGCTCCCACTGCACAGGACAAAATTATAATGTGGGGCAACTTTTTAAATGGTGTACTGTGTACGACACACACGGGAAGACTAGCGATGGTCACAGATATATTCAAATCTGCCGTACACGACAGGTTAACAGGTGGAGTTTAATAAGACACAAGTACCTAACTAATAAGTAGCTGTATAAGCAACAAGCGATACTTTCATTGGTAGAAGCTTATAATCTCATAGTAAACACCACTGGCGAGCATCAGGTTGCAACATATTGCTACAGTACCCACCAATGAGGGAGGTCGCAACAGTTTCAACCGCTGTGATTGGTCGGCTCGGTGTAGCCGAGTGAGGGCGGTCCCACTTCATTAAGGCGAATGTCGCTAAAATAGGCTTTTTTCTGGCGTTTGTTTTATATGTAGCTGTGTAGGGAGAGGGATGGGATGGCTCGCTTCAGTCGTACTGTGTGTCACAGTACATAGGCTGAAGTTGTGTAAGTGCTAGGCTGGTAAATAACAGGAACATATTGTTTCATTTAGAAAATGAGTCATGCTCTTTAAGTCTAAATTGTAAGTCTTCCTATTTTTCATTAAGTGTAATACATCATGGCACACGAGATACTTACATATATGAAATTACTAACTAAAGAAAAGTAAAACTGGGATATATCATTACAATAAATATAGCACTTCTAGTTTATAAGCCTTTTCTTAACTTATAATAATATACTATATATAACTTATACTAATAAGAATCACTGAAACACACTGAAAGATCACAGCGTTACTTTTAAAATCCAGACATCTGTAAAAAGTATAAGTTTAAAGCTAAATAAACAAAACACGTTCAGGTATAAATGTCGCAAACAAACAGCTTACTTAGTTGTTCAAGTAATCACCTGAACGTTTAGCTTCGATTATTATGACAGTCTGTTCTACTGATTGTGTACAGCCCGTATGCTCTCGTTTTTTTGTATAGGAATGCATATGATGTTGTGTGTAGTCGGTGTATGGTGTCGGTATGATCCCGATGTGGGTTCAGGGAACAGTGGAAATGTAAACACCACCGACACAATTGAGCGATTTATTAACACTAAAAATTATACAAATCATCTTAGATACAAAGGTCTTCACAGTATAGACGAAGTGTGTCACAATGTCAGCAATACCTACAGTCTTGCACAATTAGTTGCGAATGTTACAATTATTAAATATTTCTTAAAGAATGTACGATGACTCGTACAGATTGGTTGAATGTCTACTCGGTTGGGTTGTAATTGCAAAAGAAATTAAATCACCGTCAGATTATACGACTATTGCTACTTCGTTTAGTATCAGTATCTAAGATTTCTTTCGTTTCTGATGATTTAAAATAGCATTTAGGAAAGGTTACCACAGCATGCACCCCTTTGTAAGCTAAATACCAAGTAGTGTTCATTGTTCATATCAACGGAACAGCAAACAAGAACATTCTATAAATAGACCACAGACATACAAAGTGAAAAGCAATTTAAAATAAAACTACACAGTACATACTATATAATATTTCGCAGGCGTCGGCGGGTGGAGGCAGAGCAGAGTACCAGAACGATATTCAAATTGCGAACATTTCATTTTAACGCTTGCGAAGATATTCGCGCGCTCCCACGCTTCTATAGGGATGGGACAGTGTTTGTGGTTTGTTGTCGATACTTGTAAACGTTTAAATATAACTTTTAAATAGATAATGGGCTTCGAAACTGATTTCCTATAAAATACAAGTCCCATCAATATCATATCATCGTCATACTGATGATGTTTACTAGTATTTGTCATGTAAGTACTGTTGAGATAGAAAGAAACTAGATAAGATCTGTCCAAAATTACATTCACAGTAAGATTCCACTGTTGGATTATGGGACTCCTCTTCGAAACAGGAATTTGCTATCACCATAAACACCACTGGTCGCAGGCCATGGAGCCTTTTAGTCAGCTCATACTATTGTATTTTATTGCATATGTATTGCGGGTATTCCCGCAGGAAGAGTAGGTGTGGAGACAAATGTATTCTCTACCTTAGAGTCACCACACGGTGATCCAAAATTTATTTATCCCAAAATATCGACAGCCACCCATCCCTACTCCAAGTTGAGACGTTTGCGAAATGTTCACATTTCGCGAATTGATCGTTGCTCTGCGGAATTCTCATTTGCGCCTCGTTCCTGTACCGCGTCCCCCTCCCGCGCCCCCGCGCCCCTCGCCCCGCGCCCCCTCCCCCGCCGGCGCCCGCTCAGCCACACCTGTATCTGTTGCCTGTACAGGGTGATTCCATTCTCATGTGTAGGAATTTGAAGAATTTAGTTCGGCCTGTAGTGGAATGAGGTATTTGGTGAAAGGTTTTTTGTATAGGAATGGACAATAATTGGAAGTGTAGAGTAGGAAATTCTGTTTAGTTTCGTTGTAGGATTTGAAACAGTGTTGTTCACGTTTATGGGCTATTTCAGTACGTTTCAGTTCACCTTTACTGTTGATGTGTAGTGCGTCTGATGAGTTCAAGAAGAAAAGAAAGAGACGAACTTTACGTAATTACAACTGTCTAATACATTTTTATTTTTCGTAATAATGGCACTTTTGTTTATTTCTAAATAAAGACATCAACGAGTCAGTGCTACGGCGTAGCCAGTGCTACGAGATACTAATTTGTAAGTAAGCACCTATTTATTTAAAAATAAAAGTACATAATTTAAAACTAAATTAATATAGAAGGAGATTGATTAATGACATGTTTCAAAGGATTGAAATGCTTTACTTTACTCGGGCCTTGAAACAAGCAGCTATAAATGATAAACCCATAGATCAAGGATAACTTCATTTTAAAGATCCATTAATAGCTATTGTAATATAATTATCAGTCTACCCTTAATAACGTAATATAATATAACAAAGAGATATACTAGTCTAAGCACCCCGTACAAAAATTCCCGATCGGCTTTAAAGAGAAAACGCGCAGATATTCAGTTATACATTGATAATTACTCCGACCTCCGACCTCACCCTCCGCGCCCTCCTCCCTCCCTCTCATTGTAATTTAAATCGAATTCCCGTCGACAAGTAAATTGAAATATTTCAATTTCAACGCACCTTCCGCTGTGATGTTCGATATTTGAATTTAGAATTAAGATGGCGACCGTTGCCGTCATGTTTTGTTTTCTTTTGTTGTTGTTTTGTGGCTGAAGTTGTAATAATAGAGAGAAACATATTTCAGGGAAGCAGGTACAGTTCTATGTAAGTACAGACTATTCTCATTTTATTATATCTTTTTTCAAAATAGGTATGTAAGTTGGGAATTTGTTACGGTTTGCAGGTTTTATTTAAATACCTTTCTATACCTACTATAAATATATACCATGCTTACAAACGTTTACTGTCAAATTTAAACATCGAGCAAAACAAAATGAGGAGAGTTTTCTATTATACAAGTACCCACTTGTTTTAATGATCGTAATTTCTATACAAAGAAACATTTCATGTAACTTATACCAGACAATTTATTTTTGCGATAAAATTGCTTTTCCCTCTTCCGACCTAGGAGTCATCATTCATTAATAAAGTTCTAAAGTAAGTACCTATCTTAAAGTTTATAAACCTTTCATATTTCAATAAAAACCGTTATAATTAAATCAACCAGTCTATTAATACATAATGAAGAGACAAACCTTTCACCTTCCCCATATCGTCTACTATTAAACTACCAACAAAGTACTTACCTTTCTAAAAGCTCTCGAATAAACACAAGCTATTCATAATGACAAACAAATGGACAATACATTAATATTATCACTAGATCTAGTGTGTGTATGTATGTTGTGTGCTCATCTCGGAAACGTAATTAAGATGACAAGATATACAGAGTATAGAGAGAACTGCCACAACGCATCACACGACACGGCGGACCGACAGACCGACCATATTCCTCGCATTATACCACAATAACTAAACAATTAAATAAAGCCCCTTCAGAACAATAAAGAAATAAAAACGAAACGCAATCCACGACGCGAATAACAAACATAATTGTGTTTTTTGTGATTCATTCAATACACTCTTTGTTCGCATAAAAAAACTGGTTCTCAAAAAAGTCACCTTTATAAATTAAGTTTCAGCATTCACCAGCCAATCAGCACTCAGAGGCGGGGTTTGAAAGCGATGTCATTGGTCGAGCCGAGCCTCTCATCTTACAACATTTTATATAACCGGATGATACAACATATACAGTTAACACTACAGAGCGAGCGGGACGGCGATATACGTTTGTATACAGTGTGTCGTTTCGCTCTCGTTCCGTCTCTGTCACGCGGCGCGGCAGCAACTGTTGGCTTGAAAATGAATCAACAGTGTTCGAAACAACTCGCCGGAGTGTGTCGCCTTAACTGTAACGTTCGCGTTCCAAATTCGAATTGCAATTCCTTTTTTGAAATTTAAAATAGAAGAATAGTGTTGTTGCATAATGTTGTTGTGTTGTCAGTAGTTGCGCGGTTGTTGCAGTTGTCAGTTTATTTAGTTGCAGTTGGATTGTTATTTTGATGGAAATGTCTCTTCCGAACGGTGTGGACGTGTCCCAGTTGGTGCAGCACCCAGTGCTGGCTGCACTGCCTCCCTTCTTCCTCAGAGCATCCGAGAGATATCAGGTAGATATTTTAATAAATTATTAAGTGTATCATTTTATCACATGCGCCAAGTTTCCAATTAAAGATTTAAAAGGGTCGTTTGATTTTTTTGTGATGGTGAGTGGCTTCATATTGCGCTCAAAGCTCAATGGGGAAATTTATTATTTTTCGGGCTTTGTTTGAAACTTGTGAAAAATAATGGAAATATTAAAATCGAATAAGAAAATGGTTACCGGATGAGAATTTTATAAATTGGATATGTTGATTATACTTATTGATTACAATTTAAAACCTAGGTCGAGGTTATTTTACCATTTTAGGTTGATCTAATGTATCTAGATCTAGGTTGTTTAACTGTTTTGTTACATAGACGACTGCAGTCTGTAGTGTCTATATATTGAAATTTTGATAGTTTGATTTGAAGCAATAAAGAAAATATTTTAAGAAAAATTATTGATCAAGCCCAAGCTAAATTAAAAAATATAATTAGGTAGAGATACAAAAAATAACAATAAATATAGGTAAATAGAAAGTGTTGAGGAATGAATTATTACATTATTATGTCAGATAGATACTGGTAATTCATTTAGGTACCCACTTCACGTAATCATTTAGATATTATAGAATTTATCTATATATACACCGAGGGAAGTGGAAACTGTCGTTTTTTTTCTTCTCCTCTTATAATACCTTCTGATTCACTTCGTTGCGGGAACCAAGACAGTTACTCATGTCCCTGGGACGCGCCGGACTTCAGTGTTCCGGTGTTTTCATAGTTGTATCTACTGTAGATCCTGCCTTACAGGAGTTGCAGCGGTTTTTGGAGGTTGTGGCGGGCTTGTCCCACTAAAAAAAGATAATATAGAATTTGAAATTGTTAGTAGATTGATGTCAAACGGTAAAGGGTTTACGGTTAAATAAAAATTGATATTGTCATAACCCGTCGTGCGTCGGACAGTGACGAAATGCGACGGCTGAGACAAAATGTAATATTTCTAGTTTTTCACTCTTCAATATGATATTAGGATTATAATACTGGTTGAAAAACATTTTCAATGCATTAAAATTACGGTATTTCTGAATCATAATAGACTGAGGCAAAATATTCATCGGGCCACATTTATTCCTTCTGATAAACAGGATTGTATATCCCTGTAATATTATTATCTGTTGAGAATACAGACTGAAGTAAATTTTTATCTTTTGACAGTTACAGCCAGCGTACCGAGTGAGTGATTTGAACAGAATTAAAGCATACTTATTACATTATTATCCAGCTGAGAGTAGAAAGATTATTGTATTTAGTAAAATAAAGAAATACAGACACCAATGTATTACATTTTTTAATTAATTCGTGTAGTGTAATTAAATCTTATGAAGTTGACTTAAAACAGTACGAATAGGTATCTACATGGATCTAATCTGGCCTGTTGTCTAAACACCTAGGACATAAGCAAATAACCTGAAGAGACATAAGATCTTTTGAAACAAAGGCAGACTGCTACACATTTTGGAACATGTTCGAACGTTAGGAAATTTCCTATAAAAAAAAAACAAAAATCAACTACATACCTATTTAATTTTAAAGTTTGTTATTTTAGAATTTGTTTTTAAAACCTTTTTATGGGATATAGTTAGCCTCAACCCCTATACAAACATTGTTCCCGCGGGCGAGTGGAGGCTCGTTCAAACAGGCGGCACCGTTCAAAGGCAGCACGGCAGTCAAGTGTGAACTTGAAGATAAAAGTAAACAGTTATAGCTAGTGGCAAGTCGAGTGGACTGGAATGAGCTAATGGTGCACAAGTTATCAGTTTGAACCTCTTTCGATGCATTAAATGAAGCTATAGTTTAATTGTTTATAGTATTAATGCGTTAGTAGTAGAAACCTTTTCTAATGAAAGCCGATTCATTATTTTGGTAAGGCAACACTAACAAATGCTTCTGTAAGTAGTACAATAAATAATATACCAGTATAATGATCTCTTATTACATAGTAACTACTAAAAACTGATAGTAAGCTCCTCGCAGTTTCGAATCTTTTAAATTATTTTAAGATGATTGAATGAGGCCTGAGGAACTTGATGTGTCTAGTCCAGTATGTATACTGTACCTATAATCTACACAGAGACCTGGCACTCTCTAATTAGAAAGATTTAAAAGATTTAGATTTATTCTTGATCATCTTACACTCCGATTTCCAACCTTTTACGAAGAGTACATTTTGCTGCCTGTATACCAAGTTGTATCAAAACCCGTTCAGTAGTTTCAGCGTGATTGACGGACACACATCCAAACTAAGAAACTTTCACATTTGTAATATTAGTGTGAATTCGATTGAAAATTAACTCGATAGTCTAGTAACTAGTAGTAACTAGATAGATATGGCCATGATTTAAATATAAACATTTTCAAATAAAATGTTTTAAATATAAAGGAAACGTTTAATAGATTCACAGTTAGGCTAAATCTAACCTAACTGTGAATCTATTAAACATTGCCCTATTTCAGCCCTGCTAAGGCTGAAATAATACGCTTTGATTATTATATACACGACAGTCCACTACTGGACTATAAGCACTGATTTGAGGGTTTACTATAATCTCCAACATTGGCAGAATTGATTCAATAACAGTACAATCGAACTAGGAATGACAAAACTAATTATCATGTTTACGTAGACTATTGCGCTGGTACAGCCTCTAGCATGGCTTTTACGTAGTCGCGTTCCTCATCATACAGTTACATGAGTAAGCCGAAAACATAATAATTCATTTAGTATGGCTCATGACAAACTTTAATAATCAGTGTCAGCCATAATACCTTCTCCCAATTGTTAAATAATATTGGTAACATTGCTTTGCACAGTTTAATCATGATACTCGAATTATTAAAACACCCTTTAACATTAAAAAAAATAAAAAACACCAGCATCACATAACACTTCCTGTAACCAACACATTACATTAACAAATTCTTTTATAACAACACATTAACATGTAATTACCGAAATTACAACATTGTGTCGTATAATAACCACCCTGTAACAAATAACACTGCTACATTACAACACAATGTGTTATTTGTTATAAATGTGTTTTTATGTAAATGTAATTGTAATTGTAATAGGTGTGTAATGTGATATTATTGAATTATAGAGGGATTATTTTGTAACTGATACATTTTCGTGTGTGTGGCCAAAATATGGGGTTTGTAAATATTGTTGATTGTATGTTACCTGCCTACTTGGTAGAGTTGGATGGATTCAGTTGTATGTCAGCTGCTGCTTATGGTTATAGATTAGTTTTGTCTCGTTACCTATAACTTGGGTTTTTCTGCGTCTTATTTGAGTAGGTACAGTTACAATTCTGTGTAATTTCGGTATGAATGATCGACCCAATATTTTCAATGAAAGTGGGTTGTGTCTGCGGTAACTTTTTAATTTTGAATGATTATTTGAGTATCTTTTATCTGAGCTAAATAATCTTGCTTTCATCTCTACCGGTACGCACAATTTAGGTATTCGAGGTAATCCTAATCAACAGATTTGCTATCATAAGACAATTAATGATTTCACCTCCTTTCTGTGTTGGCTTACTTCCTACTATGTTCGGGCTAGAACGAATTCTAATCTAGATTCAATTGAAGGGTTACATAGGAAGACTGAAGTATATTCAAAAAATATTGTAATACTAGTGTCCCGATTGTACTGCCTACAGAACGGGTCCGCTCAAACTGTTGTGATTCTTTCCTCAAAAGGCCACTACAGAAAGAACTTGCACGGTTCTCACACAATCTTTTATACACATTTGTCTGGAATTTAAAAGAGACAGACCTCTGAGTTTGTTTCGGCATTTCTTCTCAGAGTAGTCAGTTCGGAAATGTCGGCCTCATCGTTCGCTTAATAAAATTGACGTGTAAAAGTGCTGCCTTGTAGCCTATTTGCAGAAATAAATTCACTTGATCTCGGAAGAACTGATTGGGTTTTCCATCATCATTCTATCTTTATCTGAAGTTGTCTTCTTACGTTTGATAGGTATGTCTTCTTTACCTCTGTTATCCATCATTCTTATACAAGTGGCGTATGATTGTTGTAGTGACTGTATGGTTGACTTGTACGGGTACAGTTATCTGTAATGAGTATCTAAATCGTGTAGTAAAATGCGGTGATAGACGTTTCTAACTAAAATTACCAATACTATGTAGTATTAGCTCGTGTCTATTTAACCAAGTCCATATTTAATATCACCTTTAATGATCAATGGGTTGTGGAGGGCAGATATTAACATTTCGTGTCATTTGGTCGAATTCAGTTAAAGTTAATGCTCTCCACAAACACTTTATTTATTAAAGACCGGTCAATCTTCACAGAATCTATATCCATTATTGTTTTTATTTTTCTCTTATGGTCAAAATTAATAAAAGAAAATCTTCGGTACAATTGAACGTTTATATACTTTATGCACTTGAGATTGTGCAGAAGTGTGTTTAAAACTATAGGCACTCTGACTTTGATGCAGAGATAATAATGACAAAAATCGATCTCAATCTAAACATTTTAGATTCTGACATAATAAATTATTTATTATGTTTTCGGCTTACTCACGTAACTGTTTGACGAGAAACTCGACTAGTTTCAAGCCATGCTGGAGGCTCATATTCATATGCATGAGAAGCTCATATTCATCTGGCTCTTATTACGCGAGCAAGCCCGAAAACATAATAATTAATTGAATTTCTGTTAAATAAGTATTTCTGGGGTCTCGGGTTCGATACCCGGGTGGGGCTTAAAAATATATTACTGGGTATTAAAAAAATCTCAGTAGTAGTACGAAGTCTGGAATTGTGCTCGGTATAGGCTCAACCCCTATTACATGGGACTCATAACATAAATAGTGAAAAGTGGGTGTTACATTGCACAGTGGCATAATGTACAATGTAGCCTACCCCTTCGGGGATAAAAGGCGTGATGTTGTTATTTTATTTTATTTTTATTTTATTTTATTATATTGTTATGTTATATGTATTTCTTTTGTTAATTGATTTGTTGTAAATGTCGGCCGTGAGTTGATCAGTAAAAAGAAGTTGCTACATAATAACCAGTCCGCTCTGCCTCACCAGCGGACGCCGAAGTGCGCGCGCTGCCGCAACCACGGCGTGGTGTCTGCGCTGAAGGGCCACAAGCGGTACTGTCGGTGGCGCGACTGCGTCTGCGCCAAGTGCACGCTCATCGCCGAGCGCCAGCGGGTCATGGCTGCACAGGTGAGTCCCTGGCTCTGCTATATCTGATAAGGATCGGAATTCTTCTAGTCCCGAATGAGTATTTGTACAATTTTTTTAATGTTACATAGCGTGATGTAGCCCCCAAACCGACCCCTTACTTGTACTGTCAGGTGTCACCTATAGATTGGTATAAACCAAAATATCGTTAAGTATCTCGGGTTCGATTTCTGGGTCGGGTAACGAGAATTCGTGTTATGGATGATCAATTAATACAATGTGTTTGTTTAATTCCTCTCAATCATCACAACTATACCTAATATTTAATACAAATTGTTCTTTCAAGAAAATACTTTAAAACACTCCCATAATTCGTTTATTTAACAACTGTCCCTTTTACATCTACTTTCCTATTTATAAGTGCCCCGTATTAAACTTGAATGATATAGTGCTATGTGTCCCACATAGTTCGTACAGCATGGTGCGCATGCGCAGGTGGCGTTACGTCGTCAGCAGGCGCAGGAGGAGAATGAGGCCCGGGAGCTGAACCTGCTGTACGCGAGCCAGACGTCCACTGCACCACATCACTATACTGACATGCCCGAGGACTCACCAGGTATGGATACAACGATATTTAGGATAATAGATTGAATAGCATAGCAAATAGCTTCATTTTGTGAACAGCTTATCAAAGTTAGACATATGGCAATAGGCTCACCCCCTATTACATGGGACTCATAACATAAATAGTGAAAAGTGGGTGTTACATTGTACAGTGGTATAATGTACACCTCTGCCTACCCCTTCGGGGATAAACAGCGTGATGTTATGTCTTATCAAAGTTCTAGTCAATTTTGCCCTTTCTTCTGTTATACCGTAGTCTTACTTGCAACTCCAAAGACAATACAAATGCGTTGCGGATCATGTAGGAAAATTTATAATGGCACTAAAGTATTCAATAAGGAGGGGTCACCGAACATGACGGTGCAAATAAACAGTGGGTTGGGTTCCACATCTTGAACTTTTGGAACTCCAAAACCTAATTCTACAGAAACATAGTTTATTGAGTCAGGCCTTATTACCGTTTAGGTTGATATTTAACTTCTTGCGCATTACGAAGAAGAACCATTATTAGTAATAGTGATACGTAATTCTTAGCCCCGTTCGAACATCAAGTACCCATGTTTCTACTAAGTCTTATAGCCACAATTTCCGGCTAAGACAGTGCAGCCGCGGGCGAGCGCTGTCCCACTCACTGGCAGAGTGTCGCCAAGAATCTAATCTCAGTTGTCCCGAGGCGAGCGCTTCCTTACCCCCGTCCGTAACTTGTCACACACACTTGCCAGTTACTTGCGACATCACTGGAGTTGATGTGAATGAAGCATAAAAATGTTTAATATTACCTAGTTGCTGGTAAATTTTCGTCATTAAAAACTCGAAGCACTCGGACATTTTCACATTCAAAACGTTAAAAATTGTCTCGCAAATAGTACAATATTATTATGACTCAAAGAATCCCCGCACCGCTATACCGAGTCACCCATGGGTACGGTTTCAATGGAAAAATCGATGGAAAACCCTCTGCATAAAATAAAACATTAACACGGCAACTAAAACGCCCCTTAAACGAGTAAAAAAATACAGTTTAAGAAAAAAAGCGCAGTGCTACCAATTAAGGTACAACGGTGCTAAGTGTTGCCACTTCCCCGCGCCGGCGTGGGGGTTAAAAAAACGTTAAAAAGTCGCGACGCATTGTAGCGCGGCGCGCGGCGGGTTAGAACAGTGTTCCTGTAACTGAGCAATTACAGTTTTGTTTGCTTTCTTTCCTGGAACATTCGGAACTGAATGTAAACGGTGCGGTGATCCTTTTCAGAACAAAAGTATTTTTACCTCATTAAAAATGCCTGACTGCCTCGTTGGCCGAGTGGTCGCAAGTGCGACTGTTCTGGTTCGATTCCTGGGTCGGGCAAAGAATTACTGGGTTTTAAAAAAAGTAGGTCCTACATGGTACAGTGGCATTATGAGTGCCGTTATATACACCTTTGCCTACCCCTTCGGGGATAAAAGGCGTGATGTTATGTTATGTTAAAAATACCTTTGTTGCAGTTGACTAGCTTAATTATGCGTTCAACTAGCGTCCAGATCGACATTCCATTTCAGAATGAACTACCTCATCAATCGGAAAGAAATGGTAGAAGGCGACTTATAAACGAGGGGTCTCGGGATCGATATTTAAAGTAACTTGAACCACCACATATTTTTTACAACTCATCAGAGTTGAATCTAAAACCTAAAGGTAAAATTTAGTTGCGACTAGAGTAAGCAACGTTTCATCAGTAATTTAAAATCTCACACTACCTCTACACTTGTAATTTCATATAACATTTAATCATACTCCTATAATCAATCAAAATACATCATCTATATAAATACTTGATCTGCATTGATCATTTCGAGTGAAGCTTGTCCTTCCAACAGAAAACATGTAGCGCTCCGTCGGGCGGATAAACTAGTACTTTATGAAATTGCTTCTTAATTGTGAAACCCAGTCCCGACTACATTCATGTCTAGTTCTTCGGAATACTTGTTGTTCTTGATGCTAGATAAAATACAAATAGTTATACATACCGAATTATGTTTTGTTGAAAGCACTTGTAATTCGTTTTAAAATTATTTTATATACTATATTTTTTTAAACATAAATATACCCATCAGACCACCACCCAATAGGGCTAATACCGATACGGAGCCGTGGAGAACTTAACGGGTAACCGGGGCTCCAGCTCGAAGCACACGAGTAGGAACGGGGTGGTTTTTAGTCAGTAAGAGTCTGACACTCCCTCCCGCCTCACCCAGGCGGGAGCAGTCATTCGATGATTTCCCCCTCTTAAAAAAGGGCATAAATATGTCATCGCGACTGGCGTGATATCACGGCCTCACAAAAAGCACCGTGGCGACACGAGCGTTGTGTTTCAGAATAAATTCTATTCTTCAATAGATTACATCATCATTTTACTCCTTACAATATGACTAGTTGCTGGTTAGCACCCTATCAACTCTATCAAGTTTTTTTAATAACGACATTTTAATAAAATTGCTCGTAATTACATAAATCTGTCAGCCTTTTCGCCACCGTTGTTTGTAAGCAAGTTCTTCACGATCCCCATTCCTTCCTGAAGTACAATCACGCACACGAGTGCGTCACGTCTCGCCGTCACTTGATACAGTCGCGTTCAAAACGTAATTACTCGTAGACGCGTTCGCTTGCACTTTTGTCACTCAATACGGCTGGTAAGATGTGTGGTACAAGTTATGAGACAAAGACGGTGATTGTACTTTTTGACATTAATCCTATTATACTATTACTTATATTATAAATGCGAAAGTTTGTGAGGATATGAGTATGGATTTGTTTGTTACTCATTCTCGTGAAAACGGCTGAAGGGATCGAGATGAAGTTTTGAACAGAGGTAGATTATGGTCTGGTCATAGTCCACGGGAACGCGGGCATAACCACTGGCAGAAGCTACTTCTAATATACGTTTGTATGAAATTTCCAATGACTGCCGTACTACACCGTCGTTGAAAACAGATTCAACCCTAGTTGTTATAATAAACAAAGCTATATTTACTTCTGTGAGTGCACATATGTAGAAGATTCCAAACACAGTCTTAAAAGCGCCTAAAAAGTCACGACAAGAGCCTTTTTACACAAGACACATACGTGAAAGGTCTCAAAAGTAGAATTTAATTCAGTAATTCATTATGATGTAATTAAATTTTGGCTGTATGCACGAGCAGCGCTGAGAGCGCGGTGTTTCAGTCTGGCCGCCGGCGGTGAGTGCTTACTTCCTTACGAACTACTCTATATTGCTTCACATTCACACACACGTGTTAATTGCTGGCGAGTCGTTCTCCGCTTTCTTTATACAAATGTTTATAATTCGCATTGCTTGCCATGTTTGTGCTACATCAAAGTGAGGGCCCCTACCTCGCTACCTCACTTCACTACCTCGCTTCCTTGCCACCTCGAATGAGATTAATTTCAATAAGATTATTAAACAGCGCATATTATTAGCGTCGAAAATCTTTATTCTTTTTATTAAGTAGTTTATAAAAAATTAAATAAAATTGGGGGTTACTCACGTGAAAGTACAGAGAAAAGCTAAAAGAGTAGGCTAGGCGACATCGCCGCTGTGGTTCGAAACTACTACTAGTTTAAAATATTAAATATTGAGAAAAGCTCTACAGCTTCTCTCAACATTTTCACGTGAGCCACTAGTCCCATAAAAAAATCTAAAAAGCAACAGTTGTAGAGATTTTGGAACAGTATACAATAAATAAAAGAACAAATAATAAACATTTTAGTTATGAAATAAACTTGAAACACGATCTAATCTACTATATATAAAAGAAACCCGTTTCCCGTTGCCACGCCATAACTTGAGAACACCTAGACCGATTTGGCTGATTTTTTTTGTTGTGTTTGTTATTGTTAGGAGAAGGTTCTTATGATAAAAAAAAATCCTGAAAATCCTACGGGAACGGGAGAAAACAGGATTGCGCGTACGAAGTCGTGGGCAGAAGCTAGTAAAATAAAAGCGAACAACCTCTATAGTCAGAATTTTAATTAGATTCCAGATTTGACAATAGGTACTGTCATTTTGTGAAATAATGATACCACATATACTAGTGTAGTGATGAACACAAAAATCGATAAACAATCAGTGTGTGTGTTTTATAATAAATGTTACAGAAAGTGACAGGATAGTGATAGCGATGACGGCGACAATTTACAAAATAACTTATTACCATAATATATCTATCTGTTTTATTTGTCATGTTCCTTCATGATTGCATTTTTTTATTTATTTCACACACAATAATAAAAGAAAAGTCTCAGATCGTTAATTGATCGTCAAAAATAAATTATCGGTTCAGAAATATTTATTTTCCTGATATACTTAGTTTACGAGAGTAAAATTATAAACGAGAAGAATCGATCCAGAAATATTGCATTTCCATATCGAATAATTTCGCAACGTCACTATTTAGTACTTGTCATAACGTTGCAACACTGAAATTGTCAAATCTGGAATCGAATTAAAATTCCGAGTATAGTAGGGGCTCGCGTTATAACATCGCGACGCGCGGTGGTGCGGCGCTCACACACTCGTGTTTCTTACACTTTCTAAACGAATAGAACTGGATCATGAGTTAATGTGAAACTAGCTCCACGTCACGTGTAATGTAATATATTATGCCAAGACTTGCAGCTCTTGTGTGTGTTTTATGAATTAACATTTTACTTTGAATATTAAAGGAATGAAAGATGAAGTAATGTTCTAGACGCTTTGCATGATGTAAATGTAGATTATTCTAGCTATTCGTATGAAATTATAAAAGGTGGTTGCTCATAATATTACTTATAAAACTGAGATAGTAGCCAGATATCGACGGTATCAAAAAACATGTACACAATTAAAGGTATCCTAAACTTGAACATTTTAATTTAAGTTCGATCATTAAGGCGGAAATATGGGGTTGCCTGGAATGTTTTCCGGGAGCATTGTTTTTGACTGGCAATTTTCTTAGATGGCGACCCAAGTGTCGCAC